CAGGAGAAGAAAGAGCCCACAGCCTGTCTCCCACTCCACAGTGGCACTGATCCTAGTAACTTTGCTCTGGTTACACTAAATCATAACGTGGCATTACTGAGATATTGGGGAAACCCACCTGGCAGGGGTCAGCCCAGCACAGAGAGACAGCGGCCTGACCTGGACCCTCGTGGGTGTTTCCCGGTGGCTGTGCCTCTGTGGTCGCACATCCGAGTGTTGACTGTGCGGTGTGCCCACCGTGGGCTGCCTGCTTTCTGCGCTCTGGAGTAGCTAGTCCTCCCTGGAGGCTGGGGACGGGGGAGGAGCAGAGCTGAGAGTGCTCCCCTACCCCCATCTGCACTAGCTGTGGCCTGGGGCACAGCATTTAAAGAAACAGAAGGGTCTGCCTCTGCCTCTAAGCTGGAAGGGGGTACCCCAGCCCCTCCCAGACCAAGTGATCCTCGGTCTTGAAGGATGAATAGGAAACTCACGGGCGGCAGAGGGAGGTGAGGAGGGCAGGAGCGGAGTGAAAAGACAGAAGGCTGCGGGTCACAGCAGCCCACCGCCCACTGCAGACAGGAACACCCCCAGCTTGAGAACAGTGATACCTGATCTTGAATCAGTGACAACTGAGTGCAGCCAAAAAGTATCTCCCCAGCCAGCGTGGCGTGCATTGCGAGCTGTCGATTTTACAGAAACATTCACCAGCTTTAATTAAGTTTCGCCTCCTGGAAGTCCCTCCATGTAATCAAATAAGATTAAAAGGGTAAACCTTTAGTTATCAAGGGTCTTCTTCTAGACGCTTGGCTCCCTGACCCCTCACATCTGATTCCTTCACACCAAGTTGTTAAATACGCCTTTTCTTGATATTAAAGACCATGAGAGAAGGCTTTGAAGTGTTTAAGAAAATCGCTCATTATTTCTTTGAGTTCCTGATATATTACCATTGTCTTGTAAAAGAAGCGTCAGGATCAGGAGACTCAGGAGGCTCAAGCAGCAATTCATTGCCAGGATTTGAGTCCATTTCTCCAGCAAGAAGAGAAAGCACATTGGGGTGGAGCCATAAGATAGCTACGCAGGGCAGAAAGTTGGCTGGTGAGATTCTGCATGATATGCTACCTAAAGCAAAACGCTGTTCGTGGGCAGTGAGCCACTGGCTTCTTCTTTATGGAATTTCACTAGGCCTTTGAAGCCTCTCCTTAAAATGCCCCCCTTTTTTCCAGCACGAAGCAAACACACATGTGCAATAGTAGTGGACAATAATAGTCCACAAAAATACGGATGGATTTATTAATCTGTGTGGACTTTCAAAAAACAGGGGTTTTCTCTGAAGTGGGAGACAAGAATTTCAGGGGGCAGAGCGTGGATGGGTCTGTGTCAATTCCTTCCAGCTCTGTGAGCAGTTACTGCAGTGTCATAAAGAGGCCTTAAAGAAAAAAAGAGGCTTTCATCAGTTCTACTGTGGAAGAAAATGATTGGGAGAAACTAATGAATGATTCCTTTGAGGAAAGCATCTATAAAATAAATAATGTGTGTCTGGGCTACCAACCCAGCAAATGGCCCCCTTGGGTCTGGCTCAATCTTGATTGTTAATGGGAAGTTTCATTACAGATGATTTCATAAATGTCCTTTCATTTGACTGAAAATTTGTTTATGAAATAGTCACTTGTTTTATCTCATTCCTTTATCTTTTTCTCTAATGTTAACAGCCTGGGATTCTGAGCTTAATAAGCAATGAGTTGAGTTGGGTCAAGCTTCATCCCAGTCACACGTCTCCTGCTTCGTCAATCTCATTTTTTTTTTAAGTGAAGCTTATCTTGCTTTTATAATGATTAATTGAAGATCAAAACAGGGTTTTTGTAATTGCAGATAACCTCCGGTCCCACCACACTGCCTCTCACTGCTCTTGCAGCAAAGTGAGTGCTGAGAGCTGCCCAGCCCTGCACTCACCAATTCTTATTCAAACCTGCTATCACTGTAGGCACTGAGGTCCCTGTGACCTTCTACACACACTTTAATAACATAGAACTCTTTACTGCAAATACACAGTTTGTGGAATTGGAATGATTAAATCCTTGGGAAAGGGGGAGCATCCATTTATTCCAGTTGATGTATAAAATACTTCACATCTGTCCTCCCTAGTTTGTTCTTAAAAAATTACTTACAAAATAAGTTTGATTCTAATCTGATTTTTAAATATGAAGGGTATGACAAGACAGATGGAAAAGTAGGCATATGATTCTCCATTTTATGTGTCAGTGTTTCATTTCTAAATATGCACGAGAACTTCAATACAACAGGATATGAATGAGGCAGACCGGTGAGTTGCAATCAGTCTGTTTTAACTGTCCCATTCACCATGTCTCATCCACACCCTGGACTGGTGTTCTGGAGTTCTGCCACTCACTGGATGTCTGTACTAACACCCACAATTAATTGTATGCACTGAAACCTTCAGCCGCTCCCAGTGTGATGACTTGGGGAAACTCAAACACATATGATCATTAATGAGTCTTATACTTAGAATTTTGAAGTCTTTGCTAACTTATTTTTTTCTTGCATCATTATAAACATCCATTATGGACATTGTGTCCTGTCCATCTGTTTCAAAAGTACATTTTTTTTTCTAACTTTAACAGTTCAATAAGAAAGAGTATTGAATGTGTCACTGTATTTTGTCATAAGACAGAAAAGCTATTAACAGTCTCCACTGTTACTTGTCGGTAGAAACTGTATTGTAACCTAACTTATAATCACTTGTCACTTTAGAAGCACTGAGTTGTTCAAGTCCTTCAATCAATAGTTACAGTTGTTCAAGTAGAAGTTGCTATGGTATCAGTCTAGTAGATCAAAATTAAGGTTTAAAAGAAAGCAACATTTTTTGACTTTCACATGTTGATACAACACTATGCTGTATTGGCATTTTAATTGAGAGGTTAAAACTTGCTATTCATTACACAGTCACATTCTCCTTCTAGTTTGTAAACAGCAAGAAGTAGAAACCAAAAATACATTGTGTCAGAGAGATTTTTGCATGATAAATATGTTTCAATCCTGCCTGAATATTAGTGGATAATTCTCTAGAATTGCTTGACTATTCTCATGGACATAAACCTTGCTGACAGTGATAAAATACAGAAAAACCTAGCATTGAAGCTTTGTGCAGTATTGATTATGTAAGAATAAATTGTAGTTTTATCTGCATCCACATGAAGATCTAAAATCCTATCTTTAAGTCGAAGGAATTTAATATTATATTTAGAGCATGATACTACCATAAAGTGTGATGTCCTTTAGCTGTGGTCCATTTTAGCAAAAATAAATGTGTATGCTATTTAAATACAGCTTATCTTTTATAGATTAAAGACTAGAATTTATCAGAACTCTCTTCTTGTAGAAGTGCATTATGTGATTAGATTTTTAAACTCAGACAAAGTTAAATTTCATCTCAAGTAGTTATAACAGTGAAAGTGACAGTTACTGTCCTAGTCAGTAAGTGGATGAAGGAACCTTAACTTGCTTGGTCTAAATGCAAACACCAGGAACGCGGCAGGTGTTTCCTTGACCATGTACTTCCATCCCATCCCTCCACTGCCAAATGCAAGGCTTCGCAGCAGCATCTGTTACGCTGTCTCTCAAGTTGAATCTCAACCTGATGCCGTTTCTGTTTCAAAGGCTATTTTATTTCTAAGGCATTTGTAGTCTTGGTTCAGCTGTTATCTTCAGGGGATGAATATACCACAAGCCAGCATCGGGGATGTCACATGAGGGTCACTATGAAGGTTCGCATCCTGTCCACCTGCAGAGTCCCTGTTCCTGTAGACCAGGAGTCAGCCAGCCTCGGCCACGGGGCTCCCCCTCCGGCGCCTGCTTTTATAATAACATTTGATGGGAGCACAGTCATGCCCATTCGTCCACCCACCTAAGTGTGATGTCTCCTGTCACCAGACAGTGCGGGGTTGAGTATCTGTGGCCAGACCATGTGGCCCCCAAAGCAGAGGATATCTAATCTCTGACCCTTGATAGAAGGAGCCCAGTACTGCAGCCCCAAGGGCTGGTTTAGTGAGATGAAGCGAGTGGTACAATTAGACAGACAGGCTGTCAACTCACCTGTCTGACTGTTGATATCATGGCTTGTTGACGTGTGTGATTACTTAGAAATGAAAGATACAGACCCATGAAAGGCAGAGTCAGTCCCGGAGCTCAGCCACAGCACCAATGGCAGCCACCAGAATCGTGCAACTGGTCAACCTTTGGAACATAGACTCTACAACTAGTAATGTCAGTACTTTCTCTCATCGACAGCCAAATTTGGTCAAATTAAATAGATATCCAGAATTTGGTCAGATTAAATCAGCATGAATTTATGGACCTGATGTATGCCTTTTGAGATGCAAATGGGCTCTGACCCAAAACCAAAATATTTTTTTAGTTCCACTTCCATGTCACTTTCAAAACCATGACTCAAAAAAGCTTCTAAGAACCACCAGAGCCAAGATTTACGAGAACGTCGTGTCTCCCTGAGGTCCAGACTTTAACCATACTCCTGTCTGGGTGGACACACCTGCGAGCCGGGGCACCCCACCGGCTTCACTGCCAGACTCTCCCTTGGTGTCCACTGCATGGACAGCAACTGCCCCATCCAGGTAGTGATGCCAACACTGTCCTTGTTTTCATGCTTCAGTGGAGAAGGCCAAAGCCATGTTGCCCCTCACACACAGGTGCTGTGTGGCATGCCGTCAGCACCAGAACCAGGCTCTCCCTCCTGGCCACACTCGGTCCCTTCTGCTTGATTTTGTGGTGGACGCTATGCTTGTGTCCTGACTCCAGCACTTCTGTTGACATTGCCGGTTTGTAGTGCGTTCCTCTCTCGCACGCTCCGGGGGTGTTGAGGAGAATGAGGTTGGAGACAGGAAAGCCATCTCTTGCCCATGCCCCTGACAGGAGAAGGAGCCAGCACAGCGTCCTGGGGTCTCGTGTGTGGCACTCACCAGTTCACACTCCTGCCTTCTTTCTTCCAGACACTCTCCAAAAGTGGTCAAGGCTGCATCTCAGGTCCTAAGCAGCATGTGGCAGTACCGAGATCTGAGGAGCCTCTACAAAAAGGTAAGGCTTGCTTTGCCCTGCTGGCTCGTGAGTATGCACGGCCCTGGAGTGGGACGTGGGTTGGGTTAGAGGTGTTGGGTCACCCACACGGAGGCCCCTGTCCAGCCACCTGCATAATTGAAACACATCTGAAACATGAGAATCAATGACGAAACTAAAGAGAAGTCTCCAACTGCCCTCAGACCCCTGAACTTTCTGGCAAACAGACCACATGCTATGGTCTCACCCTAGATTATCGTATAGGCAAGAAAGTGAGCTTGTTTTCCTGAGTCTCTGTTTTGTACAATCGACCGAAACAAAACAAGGAACTTAGAGATTTTTGTGCCAAATAAATGCACAAAAATGTCACCAAGCAATCGTGTGTGGAGAGGAGACAGGAAAGTGTATAAAAGTAGCTCAGCGAGGTGAGAAGCATCATACGTGGGACACAGAAGACCCCCAACCATGTCCCTGGCCGGGCCCCCCCACCCCCATACACAGGGTGGCGAGGGGGCTGGTTCTCATGGCGATTGCAGTCTTGAGGAAGGACCTGAGTGTTTGCTCGGTACCCTCTCTCGAGGCAGCGGGGAATGTGATACCAGGCATCCTGAAGACTTCCTCACCCCTAAAATGGTTTTAAAAGAATGGTTTAACATTCAGGCATTGTGACTCCATACCTCATCTCCAAAGGCTGGTAGAGTGAAGGCCGTATGACTTGTCACTTTTTGGATGGGTGGGGATTTCTTTACTAACACCTTCCTTAAGCTGTCACTGGACTGTCTTAACTAGACCAACAAATGAGAAGGGTTGGAATGAGTTTGCTCCCATGGCAGATTTGAGGTGACACGCAGAGGGGCGGGGAGCAGCATTGAGTCCCAGGACTCAGTGTCGCCAGTGACCCCACACACGGGGCTGGGAAGGACACACGCCTCCATGGATGGCTGCTCGAAGCCCTCGTTGCAGCTCCTGGTACCTGCCTGGAGGAACTGCCTCTACCCTAGTTGAACTAGCTTCTAAGTCAGTGGGGGAAAGTGAATATTTAATAACTGACCCAACTAAGTGGTGGTCTACATCTAGATTTCCCCAAAGTCTTTCTAGCTCCCTTAAGCATTCACTGTTTTGCACATTGAGTTTATAAAAGTTGGCCTATAGACCTCCTCCAAAGATGTTCCTATTCTACAAGAGGAAATCCGTGTAAGTTGAAACAGATTGCAAATTATTGTGGCAGTATTCCAGGTTAATGATGTCCATTCCCAAATATTGTGTACGTTAGGGTAAGTCCTTCTTCTAAAATAGGATGCGTTCCACTCTGATTTGCTTGAAATTCATACCCCAGCATTCTTATACTCTTCCTTCTGGGATGGGAGTCCAGGGGTCTCCCTCTCAGGATAGCTCCCAGCTAAACAGAGACGGACATGAAGAACCCACTGTGGATGAGAAAGGAGTTGGTCATTCTGAATCAGTGGCTCAGAAGCGCGATGAAACATTCCTCCTCAAATAAATTCCACTTTCCTTCCAATCCTGACCATCCTTTGCTCAAAATCTTGTCTTCTCATATTTATGCGCATTGAAGGGAAACTTGTTATTTGTTGTGCGAGTTCTCCATCTTAGGGCTTTTTCTGTGGTAGTGCGGTTCAGAAAGTGTAATTATCTTTCTGTTTCCATGAAAAATAGAATGTGTTGACAAGAATTTAATGGAGCTGAAACCCAAGAGCAAAGGATGGTTTAAAATGTGTTGCATGTGAGGAGATTCGGATATACCGACGATGATGTTTTTAGTGGAACTAGGATTAAAAGAGTGAGAAAGAGCTGTTCTTAATGATGCCCAAATTGTGCATTTGTGAAATAAAATGAGGACCTTAGGTGCGACATGGAACGTGCTGTGATCAGCCAAGCTCAAAATTTTCAGAAGCTGCTAATTTGGAAAAGTCCTTCTGCGAGAAAGCCAGATTTGCTCATCGGTCAACAGGAAGATCGATTTTGATTTGCATCTTCACTGACAACTTACTTATCAGTGAAAACATGGCTCATCCATCTCTCAATTATCCTTGTTTCATATCTATTAAACACCTCGGCAGGGCTAGAAAGGGAAGAATTCCAAAGAAAACCCGAGACAAGGGAAGTGGCCACTCTGGGTACCAGTGAAGTGTGGGACAGTTAAGTAATGTCATCAGTCTCAGAACTAGACTCAGATTTACTGCAGGTAGGGAACGCACAGAGCAGAATCTTAAAGAATTTTTGGAATCTGCGTTCATCAGGAGGTAAAAGTCAAGGGCCTCATGGGTCAGAGGAAAAGCACGCGTAGGAAAGTAGAAATCAGAATTAAAATGGCAGATCTTTGGGCAGAATCGAGGGCACCTGTCATGGGCTTTCCCCCCTGGGACCCAAGCTAGCAGCCAGAATTTCATTTCATTAGCTCGACAACTTGATTTACTTAGAGAGAGAGACACATAGGGTATACAGAATGTTCTGGCTTGACCAAAACAAAATTATACTTGATTCCTGATACATTTGGAGCCAGAACATATTTGTATTATCTCAGCTTTCAGTTTTATTGAGGCCTCAACTTCAGCTTTCCCCCCTAAGGGGATGTAAGCCAGTTGGAGAGAAATGTTATCACAGGCTAGCTAAATAATTCATTGCCTTTTTTTTTTTTTTGCACCAATCCTTAAGTTTGGATAACCACAAATAGAACCTTAAATTTATTTTATCATCCATATCATGGCAGAGGATATATCCTAAGGAAAAGAAGGTGAACCTTAGGGACAGACTTGCTCAAAGACAAGCAGGCAATCAAACCTTGGGACTTGGTGTGAAAAACAGGGTCACTGACGAATGGGCTACTTATGTTTCACTGAAGTGGGAGACTGTTGGGGCAGTTGATTGCAAAGGTGATGCATTGGGAAGGCAGAGAATTATACGGTTCTAGAAATCATTGCTTAGTAAGCCTTAGCTGTATGGCATCTTCAAGAGATAATGGTTGGCACGCAGGGTAGGCACGCTACTAAACAGAATAAAAAATGTAGATGCTCAGACTGAAGAGGTATCGCTTTGCCACTGGCGGAGTCACACCTGGCTGGGCAGGTGCCCAGGGCCAGCAGGTGCTCCTGGGAGCCAGGTGTTGCCCTGCGCGGGATGGCGGCCCATGTCTGTGTCAGCACATTCCCCGGGCTTCACCCCCACCCCAGAAGAGTGAAGGCTGTATGACTTGTCACTTTTTGGATGGGTGGGGATTTCTTTACTAACACCTTCCATAAGCTGTCGCTGGACTGTCTGAACCAGACCAACAAATGAGAGGGGTTGGAATGGGTTGACCACAAGAAGAGGGGGAAAGGGTGTCACGTAGGCAGGTGTGGCAGCTGTCAAACTGCTGTCCACATCCCAGGAGTCAGCCCTCAGTCACGTGGACTTGCCCAGCTACAAGGGAGGAAGGGGAGGGTGGGCGGTCATCGTCCCTGTGCAAATGTGGCAGAGAGAAGCAGCGATTTTGCTAAAGGAAGACAGGCAGTATCAGCCCAGTAATCATTTCCTTTCCTTCACATAGCTTTAATGTCCACTGCAATCTCTACCTAATGGGGCATATTATTCCATTTTAGGGTGCCTGGGGTTATTCGAGACTTCTGATTTGCTTTAAGCATAAGTTTCTTTGTCTGCGACTTCTGTCCTCAGACGCCATTCTGGGGAAGTCCCATTTCTCTTCTCTGTGCAAACTGTTCTGGTTCTAAAGCTAGCCAGCCTGTCTGCACAAGGTCACTCCTGTATCGGAGCCTCTCAGTCCTGATAACCTGCCACGTCCTGGCCGTTCATCATGGCTATCACTTTCACCCACATGTATGCAAGTTTGTCAATATCCCTTCTGTAAGGCAGCACCCAAAATGAACGTATTCCGCCACGCTCACCTGAAGCAGAGTGAGACTGTGCTTGCCTAGTGCCGGACACGCAAGTCCGTACAAAGATTAGAAGCAGGTTCAGACACAGGGACTCAGCGTGCTGGCAGTGCGATGCAGACGGCATAAGACTTAGATTCCAATGCCAGAGATGGACAGCCCAGCCGAGGACACCCTGGCAGAGCGTGACCTGGCCACCCTGCCCACTGGCGGGGTCGGCTCTGGCGCCGCTGGCCTGCTGGACGGCTGCGGGCTGCCCTTCTGCCTGCAGGATCTAAACCCAAGGAGCCGCGAATCCTAACGCAGACTCTCCAGGAAAGTAAGCACTTGCCCCCAACAGTGGGGACTCGCCCCCAGTGGGTGTGGGTGGCCGGGTTATTATGAAGCAGGATTCTGAGAAAAGAAGCTTTACTGCAACTGAGCAGACCTCAAGGTTCGGTGCGCTGCTCCTTCCCTCGGTGCTCTGCGGTCCGTCCGTTCGGGAGCAATCTGCCCATCCAGCCTCAGCTGCATAATATCTTACAATGGGGCCCGGCCGCTGGCGGCTCAGCATGCTGGCCCTGGGCAGCTGGTGCGCACCTTGGCGCTGCAGCGAAGACTTGTCACATCTTCTCTGGGGGCCACGGGCCTCTCCCTGTCAGTCCCAGCCATCTGCCCTGGTTTCCTAATCACGGTGCTCAGGCCACCACACTCCTCGTGTTAAGGGGAAGGATGTCCTCAAGGAACCCTGCAGAGTCTTGTGGACTCCGCCCCCTACTCCAGGGATTGGAAAACTACAACTCCCAGCAGCACCAGGGAGAGAACTGCGAGGACCCAAGGGCGGAGCTAAGCAGGAATTCTGGGACTTTGGGGGATAAATAGGGAGCGGTTTTCCAACTGTCACTCTGGAGAGGTGACGGCTCTCAGACAGTGTGACTGGGGCTAGCAGCGTTAGTTTGGGACTAGAGCGCCAAGTTAGCCGGTAAAGTATTCCAGCTACTTTGTTTCCCTCTCTCTTTCCCTGGGTTGTTTCTTTTCTCTCTTTTTTAAGTAATAAACCCATTGCCCTTTCTGTGCGCGCCTGCAGAAAATTACATTTTGAGCACACAGGTGAGGCGGCCGACAGGCAGCCGGGGTCCACTCTGGGCTCCCCTGTAACACTCGCGCCCAGGGCCGATTGGCTCAGTTGGGGAGTAGCCGTGGGAGAGTCATGTGGCCATGTGGTAACGAAAGAAATGCTTCTTCCTGAAACACTTTTTCATGCCTTGAGCCTGATGAATTCTGTGTCCACCGTCCTGTCCGTGGGCACCTGGACATTGGCATCAGGGATTTCATTTTGTTGTGACCATCCTCATTCTTCATTTGACCTGCACGTTTACAATTCTCTCCCCCGGGTCTCTCTACCCTCCCGGCCCAGATGTGCACGCAGAGCCCCTCCTCAGGCCTGTCCCTAAGCAGCTCGCCTGCCAGCCAGCTGCCAGGCTTTTGCCCCAGGTGTTTGCACAGGTGTTGGCTCAGGAAGGCTGTGCGCAGCGAGCTGCTGTCGGCTCAGACGTGGGCGCCTTCCCTCCAGGTAGTGCTGCATTGCTGATGTAGCAGCTTAAGTGGGCTGAAGGCTCCTGTTGGATTGAGGCCCGAGGAGAAATCTAGGGCAGGAGAAGAAACATGCACGCAGGTGCAGACACAGCCAGCAGCTCGCCACGCCCCGCAGGAGCCCCCGCCAGCCGCCTCCCCTGTCTGGCATGTGCCGGGCAGCAGCACCGCCAACAGAAGTGGTCCTCTCGTGCTCCCCGATGTCATGACTCCCAGGTCACCTCGAGTTGCTGCCCCCGCCCCTGACAGGCGTCCTGTTCCTTCCCGAAGAGCCGCCGCCCCGCGGGGTCCTAGCCTCGCACCGGCTCGCACCGTCGCCTCCCGGTGCCCTGCCCTGCTCTGGGTTCAGCTCCCAGCCCCGTGGCGTGGTCTCCCGAATCTGTTTCTCTCGCCCAGTCTCCCTGCACGTACCCACCACCTGCCCTCCCGCGCACGTGTGCAGCCTCGCAGATGAACTCGGCTGCAGGCCCGTCCGGTCCTCCTGGGCCCGGCTTCTCTTCCAGCACCCCCGAGCAGCGACGCCCCAGCCCCCCGACCCCCAGCCATCCCTGGCACTTCCGTGCTCCGCTCTTCAGCCTAGCAGAACACCGCGGCTCCCGCCTCCCCTCCTTTCCGTCACGGAACTGAGGGTGCTGCATCGTTGGAGCACTGTGCTGCCACAGAACCCAGCTGGCTCCGGCCCGCGGCCTCGTTTCTCCCCGAGCCCCTCTCGGGAGGGCAGCTGGGCTGAACGTTCTCAGAAGCAGATATGGTGAAGTTGCTCCTCAGAGCTACACCTTTTAGGGGCTCCCGGTATCCCCCAGATGGAGTCCAAGCATCTCCCACAGCCCCCGGGGTGTGCCAGAGGCGGCCTCAGCCTCGCTCCCCGCCTCGGTCCCCCTCCCGGCCCGCCTTGCCCCCTGGCCGCACCTGACCCCTGCACCCGGTTTGCGCCCCTCCCGTCGCCCACCCTCAGACGCCCCCTGCAGCCGCCCTCCGCTGCAGCCCACTCGCCCATCCTGGCCGTGGCCTTCGCACGTCGCGGCGCTTTCACACGACAGCCCCGAGTGGACTCGCTCTCGCCTGTCCCCCAGTCTAAGTCAGGAACATCATTCATTCCCATTCCCTACGAGTCCGAAATAACTGTAGGGCAAAGTCATTGGCATGAATCCACTTTTAATTCACGCTTTTGAAAAGTGACGTTGAAACATGAGGAGTCGTTTGAACGCACATCTGGAAATGAAGCCGCACGATGGCACCATCGTAGCCAATGGCTAGATACGACCTGTCTGCACTGTTCCAGGAGATCGTTTTCCTCCTTGGCTCAGGACGAATCACATGAGCATTTGCTCTGTCAGCCTCCGAGTCGCTTCTCCCTAGAACTTGGAATGAACCTGGCCTCCTACTCTGGTGCAGCTACGCCAGTTCCCACAGCGCTGGAGTCTGAAGGAAGGGCCGGCAGAAAAGCTGGCACGCGAAGTGAGGACTCTCTTTGTGCGAAAAATCAGAATGGCATCAATGAGGGGCACGAATCATCTCCGTATCTCTGGCAAAAATAAAGCAGCTGGTTTGACTTGGTCACCGACAGCGTTTCCCTTCACTTCAACTGCCGCTGACTCTGCCCCCCAACTTTTTGATTTCTTTTTGTCCACCCGTGCCCGTGATGGCTGTCCACGTAACTGCCGCTTAATGACATGGAAAATCGAAAGTTTATGTCAGCCCAGCAGTGAAGATGCCTGTTTTATTGGTCTTCATGAGGCGTTAGGTCCAAGACAGTTGAGTGGGCCTTCGAGAACACAAACTCAGGAACAGGCTTTGGTTTGAAATTTCAATGACGCATCTTGCTGTCGGGCATTTATAGAGCCGCCTCTTAAGGAAGGGCGTTTCTCACATGGAGTCAGAAATGAACACAAGTTAGCACTGTTTTCAGGCTTTGGATTCAGGTCTTTCTTCGGTGATAGTCAACAGTACTCTCTCGGTTAGAAAATCGGAAATGGGATCATGTTCGTCTCTTGCTAACATAAATTATCCTTTTACTAAAGAACTGCAGCCCGAGGTCTGAATATCCCACTGCCCGGTGGTTAATTCCTCCCCAAAGGTGAGCGGCCAGCCTGTGGGTCAGCCCATCACCTCCCGTGACATCTGTCTTGCGGGGGACCCATTTCTGGGTTCCCGGAGTGAGCCAGTGGGCCCCCAGCTTCCGTCTGCGCCTCCCTGCACAGGCTGGTGTCTGGGCCTCAATGGGACTCACTGGGCAACGCTGCTCTGCCCCGTCAAAGCCCCTCGGGAGCGCTGGGTGACCCCACGGGGTCCGAGGAAAGCCGCAGAGCAGTCTGGGGAGCGCAGGCTGCTCCCCAGGAATCTGAGCTGTGACATCACGGCCCAGGTCGGTGCTGCTGCTGCTTCGGAGACACTGCCGTGTCCTGAGGGCGGGAGGGAGAAGCAACAGTGACCGCGACCCGGCCCGGGGGAGGGCGGGGGGAGAAACAGCAGCTGGCAGGCTGCACCTGGGTCCTGCTCCCCTCGCTTCTCCACAGGCTTCTTGCCTAGCAAACAGGCTGGGCCCTTAACACAAGCCCTGCAAAGCTGACACGGAAAAGCACAGGGGCGCCTGTGGCAGCTGCTGCTCCGGGGTCTGGCTGGTGGTTCTGAGCTCGTTGTTCTGCTCTGGCTACTTCAAAGGGCCCCGGAGAGCAGGGCACCCTGTCCCCTGAGTGCCGGGAGCCTTAGCTCAGAGATGCCCCTGGAATGACGAGACTGCATCAGCGTCCGGCTCGGTTCGCAGTCAGTGGGCTCAGAAGCCAGGCTACTGCCCGCTGTTATTCGCGGCCTGGAGTCGTCACAGGTGCGTCTTGGTAGCACCCCTCGCCCACGGCACCCCCAAGCGAAGCGTGGATTTCTTGGCATGAGCAGCTGGTGCCGTGAACAAAGCCCAACCGGGCATCTCAGATAGATGTTGGACTCACAGTTGCCGCTGGAGGAGAGACACCAACATGCAGCTGAGCCTAGTGTCCCTCCGGGGCCAGGGTGCACTCTCAGGGCACTTCCCGCCCCGCAGCTGAGGGCGGCCGTGGGCCCTCGCACTCTGCACCTGCTGCGTGCAGCTCCTGCACCGCCGCTGGCTCAGAGCAAGGGACCCCGTGACCCATATAGTCACGGGGAGGTTGGGGTGCCCGTGGCTCGCCCCCGCTGTCCGAGCCGCGGCGGGAGGGAGGGACACAGCCCCCGAGTGGCCTCCCCCTGCCTGCTGGAGACAGACCCCGCGACGTGGCCCAGCCCGGCCCTCACCCCCCTCGTCTGCCGAACAGCGAGGAGCGAAAAGCAGCCCTGTAACAAGAGCTGGGAGATCATCAAAGGAGCGTCAAAGAAAAGGCATGACATGGTCGAAATTCAAAGTTTTGAATGTTCAGCTTTGCTGGAAAACAGGAAAACTTTCACCCTCCGTTAGCATGTTGCCACTTTGAGAACTCCTAGATTTCGACCTTGCCAGGATCCAGGTCCATGATAAAAAGCAGTAAATCCTCTCCGGAAAGAAATTAAATGATGGATGTAGAGCTGTCGTTTTTATCAAGGAAATGGCTTGCCAGGAATCCATTCATTTGCTACTGCGCTGCAGAGTTCTTCAGCAAGAGGTGACTGGAGCCCCGGGGACTGTGCCCAGGCCCCACGACGACCTCGCTGCGTCCCTCCCACGGACAGCTCTCGCGCCTCAAGCTCCGTCTTGTCTGAACCGTGCGGTGTCAGATGAGGGGGAAGACCCAAGGCCGTGCTTAGCTTCGGCTGTGCCCCCGTACATCTGCGACGCGCTTGTTTGTGTCCGGACACGGCCCGGCGGCGCTGAGGGCTCTCAGTCACCCACCCTACGCCGTCTGTCTGGAAGCCAGGCATGCGGGAAGGGGAGCTCGATGTCCACGTGGCAGCCACGTGTGAACCTGGAGTGACCGAGGCCCGCTGCCGCCGAGCACGTCGACAGCGGCCAGAGCCGAGCCCCGCTGCGGCTCCCTCTGAGCGCCTACAAGAACACCCCAGAGACGAAAGGGAGCGGGGAGAGCAGGCCCGGGAGCTGGAGGCGGCCGGCGTGTGAGGTGGTCACTCTGGGCAGCGAGCTCTGCCCGCCCGCGCCTTGTGGGAGAAGCCACCGCCAGGGTGAGGATCCCGGCCCGGGCCTCCTGGCCTCCTCCAGCCCACTGCTCCGATTCTCCCCCGGCCTCAGGCTCTGCACATAGACAGTGAAGACGTGGCGGCCCGGTAGCGTGGCTTGTTTGGAGGTCCTTGTCAAGAAGAAAAGAGTGATGACTCTACTCTTCAGCACAGGTCGGGGAAAGGGCCCTCGGCACAAGCAGGCCGAAGCTCGAGCGTCTTGAGCTCCTCTCCTGTCGTGTCAGCCACACGGCCCCTGGGTCACTTCCTCCTGGCTCTCCCAGCAGCTGCACGCTGCGCTGACCTCAGGGCCTTTGCACTGCGTGGCGGGGCCCACGCCTCAGCCAGGGCGACCTCCCTCCTCTCCTCCCAAGCCGGCTGATTCCGTCTGTTTGACTGTGACTCTCCAGGAAGCCCCCATGACTGTCCGGCTCTGCAGGGCCAGTGAGGCCCTCCTGCAGTGCTCCCCTGCTCTACCAGCAGCCATGCTGGGGTGGGGCTGTGTTCTGAGTCCACTGGCCTCTTCCCACCGGCCTCTCTCCTCACCCACTCCTGGTCAGCGCAGCACTGGGCACTTGTCATGTTTGTTCAGTAAATACACCCCCTGGCTACCCCAGGAAAGCTCACCCCTTCACTCTGCCTCCATTCCCCTGCGTGGAGCATTTCCATGGAGGGTGGAGAACTGGGGAGGGGGCGCAGGAGGAGCGATGGACTGACTGACCACTGCCGAGTGTCTTTGGGGTCGCGGGCTCTCCAGTGCTAGAGGACTTCAGTACTACAGCAGATGACCACGGGGTTTGTGAACCTGAAGACGAACTCTGTCATGTTCAGCCTGCATTTGGCTTTGTAGCACTAATTACAACCCAGAGGGCGTCGCTCAAGACCCACGCCAGAGTGTTTTGAGGTCTAAAAAAGCAGGGGGACCGATCCCGTCTGACTGCAGTTTGCCCGGTCGGTCGCTAGCCGCTGCTGGACGTTAACCACAGCCTGCTTCCGTCAGCCCCGTGGCCAGCCCTCTCCGCCTCCGGCCCTTGGAATCCAGCCAGTGGCGGGGGCGTGAGTCCCTGAGCTGGATCCCGGGTGTTTGCTGCCCATGGCGGTCCAGGGAAGGTCCTTTCCCTTAGATCTGCACTGCCTGAAAGTATCCAAATCAATTTAATTAAATTTCATTAGAAGCAGTAAAGCTGAGACGAGTGAAAGTAACTGGTGTGTCAGGCGGCATTTACTTCTGCATTAAACGGCAAATACTCCCTTTTGGCCCCTAAGATTAAGTTTAAATATTTAACTCTGATAGCTTCTGGAATTGTTGATGGAACTAGTTTTCATGAATCTTTAACAGTTTACTTTAAAAATACATGGACGCTTGCTTTGTTACTGCGAAGAGGCTGAGGATTCACTGACCCCACGGGCGTGGCCTTCAGCCAGGGGACCCCGACTGCAGCTCCACCTCCCGGAATTCTCGCTTTAGGACAGTGAGCAGGACGAACGAGTCGCTGCCAGAAACCGGAGTCTTTCTTCTGCTTCGCGTGGTTACATCAGTGGGTCTGTGCCACTTAAAAATGATTGGGGCACGGGCCCTCCCTGGTGGCGCAGCGGGTTAAAGCACCGCACTAAGAAGCTAAAGCCACTTCTGCATGAGTTCGATCCCCGCCTGCCCCGGAGGTGACCACATGGCTGGCAGACCTCTCCTGACCGCCCGCTGCTCCCCTCAGCAGTGTCCTTCGTCCATCTGCCTGTTCTGCTCCCCACTCTGTCTCTGGTGAAGCCTCTCGCCGCCCCTGAGCCTCTGGCCTGTACCCCAGTTCTGTATGAACAAATAAATAAATCTTTAAAAAAAAAAATGATTGGGGCACAGACACAATTTGGGACGATCAGGTGTCTCCTAAATAGCACGATGTTTTCATTGCCTTTTTCAGAGGATAACAATTTGTGTCTGGACTTCGTTTAAGGAATTAGTTCCTGGCGGAGAAGCTGTTGAAGAACACAGGTCACGACCCGCGCATGTCCCAGGCGAGTGAGTGGATGGCTGGGGGCTGAAAGCCCAGAGGACTCGCGCCTCAGGCCACGCAAAGCAAATTAGAACTGACGAGCTGTGTGGGCCGAGAGCCCTCGAGGACAGCCGAGGCCCAAACCTGCACTTGTTGCTGCAGACCCAAACAGCCTCTGAAAGCCCACTGAGACAGCCTTGTTGAGCGGCCAGAGAAGCCCCTCATGAAGGAGGTGCCTGAGCTGCCTGAAAACAAAAGGGCCAGTGACCGTGCCCTGGCTGACGGTGTCTGAGTGTGTAGCGTGGGTTCCAGCTGACACCCCCGAAGTGGACAGCTGCGCTCTGTTTTCAAGGTTCATTTTTTATTGGCTGTTTTGTCTGAGGCACAAGCACCATCAGAAAGGAATTGTTAGCTCAGCTCGAAGCTTAGGAGTGAAACGTTCACGACTGGCTTTGGAAGCAGAACAGCGAGGGGGGTTGTGGCCCTGGAATTCTCGTCTCAGCCGTGGGGAGTCACCTGCCCACGATGGCGTGGGCGTGGTCACTCTGCCCACGATGGCGTGGGCGTGGTCACTCTGCCCACGATGGCACGGTCACTCTGCCCACGATGGCGCGGGCGTGGTCACCCTGCCCACGATGGCGTGGTCACTCTGCCCACGATGGCGTGGGCGTGGTCACTCTGCCCACGATGGCATGGTCACTCTGCCCACGATGGCATGGTCACTCTGCCCACGATGGTGTGTGGTCATTGTGCCCACGATGGCATGGGTGTGGTCACTGCCCACGATGGCCTCAAACCACTCGTCTTCCAGAGAGAGCAGAGATCGTGACCAGGCTGACCGGGAGCCCCTTCCCTCTGAGCCTCACCTGCTGAAGCGGGGAGCAGGATCTGGTGGGAGCTGGTCTCCTCCAGCCCCGCCACCGGCCCCCACCCAGCCCTGGAGGAACTGACGCTTCCTTTTCTGGCCCCAAATGCTTCGCTTGTGCACCTTCTCTCCCTGTGTAGGGAAAGTCGAGTGACTCAGTGACTCAGCTCCTTTCGTCTCCCGCCTCCGGCCTCTCCGGCCACCACCTGTGGCTGCGCTCTCCTCCCAGGGTGCATTACCTGCACGTCAAGTTGTGTTCATGCAAAAAGTGCATCGGAGCCCGAGGACAGCTGGGCACCTTTGGTCACAGACACAGGGCGGAGAAGCCAGAGCGCCCAGGGCGTGCGTCTGTCCGTGTGGCCACCTGAACTGAGAATCGAGGGGAACAGGGTACAGTCACGGGGCTGGGGGCTCAGCTGCTGCCCCCAGCCTGCCAGCTGCCGTGAGGCCAGTCCCCTGACTCAGCTTCAAGGCCTGTTAGAGACACCGAAGCCCCCCAAATTCTCTTTCCGTCCGCCCCCATCAACCACAAGCCCACCCGGCCTGGGATGGGGCAGAGCACCCTGGCTCTCCTTCTCCGCTGGGTGGCACCCCCTTATCTTCTCACATTCGGTCTTGGGGGTGGGGTGTGCCAGGGCTCCCCGGCCTGGCAGCGTGTTCCCTGGCATCCGAGCAGGTGCCTGGAGCTCGCCCACAGCCTGGGCTTCCCCCTGCCCACCTAGAGCTCTATAGTCTTCATGCACTATGGTGTCCCCAGGCTCCTGCCCAGGACTCTCCCAACAGGTGCCCCCAAGAACCCAGCCGCTCCTCTGGGGTGCACACAAAGCAGCAGGGGTGGGCTCCTCTGCCCTCAAAAACAGTGACACAGATCTAATGCGGGGGGTGGGGGGAGCCGGGTCCCCTTTCTTTCTCCCGGTTCTTTTTCTGCTAAGGACTTGGGTTTTGGGGAAACCAAGGCTGTTCTCTGGGGACAGGTGCGGTGTTCTCGGAGCTGCAGGAGACACCGGGCAGGAGGGAGGGAGCAAGTCAGTGCGAGATCGCTGCGTGCTGTGGGCGCCGGCCAGGGCCAGGGCCGCAGGCTGAGGCCGCAGAGGAGGCGATTTTGTGCGCCTCCCCCGGCGTCACGGCCAGGAGAGCGAGGTCCCCGTGTGAGACGCAGCGGCTGGCTGCAGGCCACTGTTTGGCTTTGACTTAGGTACCTTTCACCTAAGCTAGCACGGCCTGAGGCCCGGCCGGTCGCAAGTATGGCGGAAAAGGCAGGTGAGCAACAGCAGAAGCTGACAGAAGAGGCTCCCCCACGCCAGAGCCCAGCACTTCTAGGTTTTCATACCCACATCTGGTGCAGAAGTGCAGGCTGGCCACTGCAGGCTGGCTGTGAAGGCTGCGTGGGGTGGTCATGCCGCCCAGGGTCAGAAACCCGCTCATGTTTGTGCGATGAATGCAGTCATCTGCAGTCATCGATGCAGCTGGCACCTGCTAGCTGCTTCTGTTGCAAGCACTGTGGCAGGCCCCAGGCCCACGGGCTCGGGAACACGGCCAGATGACGGGGCGGGGTCTGGAGCTAGACGGCACCATTTGTCGGAGCAGGGAAAGGCCGTGCCGGCGTTGCTGACAGCGCCCAAGCCCTGGCGTGGGCTTCCTTTCGCGGCCCGGCTTGCTGGGAGGCCCGGCCAGTCCTCTGTTCACCTAGCACACAACCGAGCAGAAGGGGGAGCAGTAGGGGGAGGCCGGGATGCGAAAGGGAGGTGCTGAGCGTGGAAGGAGCTGCTCATCAAAGTGTAACCGTGGGAAGTTGAGTCACAGGCAGCGAGTGGGGTGTCCGGGCATGCCCGGGCGCCCGGGGTGTGTCCCCTCCCCCCTCACCCCCACTGAGGTTGGGACCTAGTTTTGTCCCCACAGATGTCAGCCTTAGGAATGTCTTAGCGAGTCCCCGGCGGACTTGGGGACACCCCAGGATTCTGTGCCCTGCTGGTTCTCACCACTTTGGACTGAGTCTCCAAGCCAGTGGCCATGGGCCTGCCCGGGGCCTTTGAGAGCACCAGGGCCCCAGCCCTACTCAGAACCACTGCAGCAGGGCCTCAGCAACAGAGGTCCAGGCGTGTCTGCTGTAGAAACCAAGCTGGTTGACTCGTTTTGCCATTAATTGATGGAAAAAGAACCAGAGGCAGTGCTTGCAGGACCAGTGGTGACCAGTAACTGCAGCCAATACTGACCAGTAACAGCGGGGCGGACGGTGACCAGTAAATGCAGGACTGAAGATGACCAGTAAGTGCAGGACTGAGGATGGCCAGTAAGTGCAGGATGGAGGATGGCCAGTAAGTGCAGGACTGAGGATGGCCAGTAAGTGCAGGATGGAGGATGGCCAGTAAGTGCAGGACTGAGGATGGCCAGTAAGTGCCAGACGGAGGATGGCCAGTAAGTGCA